GGTCCTCTTGGAAGGTTCAGCTGTCCGAAGACGAGGCCAAACTTCATGCATCGATGGAGCCTGGGGTTGCGGCTGTTATGCGTGGCAAGAACATTCTTTTGCTTGAGAGAATTGCTGCATCGTTTGGTTGGCCGGACGATCTTGTTTTCGAGCATCTCAAAGGTGGATTTCCCTTGGTGGGGGAATCTAAACCCTCCGGGATCTTCGATGTGGACAGAAAGCCGGCGTCGTTGACTAGAGACGAACTACTCCAACACTCCAAGTTTCTTCGTCCGGCACTTTGGGCCAAGGTCGCGAATTCAAAACTTGATGATGCTGCTTCTCATGTCTGGGAGGCAACTCAGATGGAGCTTGTCGAAAAAGGGTGGCTCACGGGGCCTTACTCGTGGGACGGCCTTCAAGAACGTTTTCCTGATGGTTGGCTTCCGGTGCGCCGCTTTGGGCTGGCCCAGAAAGACAAAACGCGATCGATTGACGATCTGGCCGAAAATTCGGTCAACAGGGCTTACGCGGTATCGGATAAGATTTCCTTGCGTGCTCTTGATGAGTTGGTTTGGACAGCTCTCACCTTGTTTAAGATTTTCTTGTCCAAGGGTGAAGTTGCTATCCCGTTGTCAGACGGTCGCTTGCTTCGGTTTCCAGTCCACTCCTTCTGGAGGACGTTGAAGCCCGAGGGTTTGCAGCCGAGTGTAAAAACGGTTGATTTAAAGAGTGCTTACAAGCAGCTGGCAGTTTTGCCAGCCGACCGCTGCCTCAGTGTTGTTACGATTAAAGACCCGGTGTCGGGCGCGGCTCTCGGTTATGAGAGCTGGACATTGTTGTTCGGCGCGACTTCGTCGGTTGTGTCATTTAACCGCGTGGCCAGGCTGTTGCAAAGGGTCTTGATTGAGTTGCAGGTCATGGCCAGCAACTACTTTGATGACTACCCTGTCCTTGAGCTGCTGCCGTTGTGTGGCAATACTCAGTCCACGATTCGTGCCATCCTGGACATGCTTGGCTTTGTGTGGGCGGAGGATAAAGACCAGCCCTT